GAGAATTTTTTTCCCCTAAGATATTCTTTGTTTATTTCTGAATTTTTAAAAATTGTTTAATTTCTAAAATGATAAAAAATATTAGACAATGTTTTTAGAGTGCGATTCTAAGTGCTAGCCGAATTTCGACCGTTGCTTAAAATTGTTAAAATTTGATTTCAATAATGAAAGAAAATATTGGACAGTGTTTCTTGTTTAATTCTGAATAAAAAATTCCTGAAAATAAATTGTTTTGGTGGAATTAATTTTTATTTTAGATCAATTTTAACTGTTGGCCGAATTTCGGTCTCTGCTTAAATTTGATATAATTTAATTTTAAACTAAAACAAAATATTAAAAATTTTTTCTTGGATAGTAAAAAAATTCTTTTACTTCAATGTATTAAGAAGAATAGTTTTAATTTAGGATCAATCTTAAATTATTAGAAAATGTTTTTTGTAGAATATTTCATTATTATTTGTTTGAATTTTTATAGAACAGAATAGTCATTTAAAAGAATTTTTATTTTACAGAAAGAATATTAGAAATAATTCTTTTCTAAGCTGAACGTCAAGTTTTACAGAACTTTCATTTGTCCGAATAAATCTTTAAAAATTTTGGACTTTTTGTTCTTTTGGACAAGTCTATCATTTGGACCTTTTAATTTGGAAACGCATGAATAATGCCTAAAATTAATTTGCTAGAATTTTTATTTGATAAAATTTCATTAGATAGAATTTCCTTTTAGACGAATTTATATTTGTTAAAATTATTTTTTAACAGAATTTTGATTAAACCGATTTTCTACATTACATAATTTTTATATAACATAGATATATATGTTTTAAATTTAAAATTTAATTTTTTCAACCCTGAATAAGATTTTTGAGCAGTGTGAAAGAAAATATGGACTTTGCACTTATTGTTAGTCTTTAAGTGACAATGTCTCTATAAAGATTGTGGGCATGATATAACCACTATATACGTAACTGGTTAAGCTATTCTTTAGACTCCAAGTTCATTCACTCGAAACACTCGAGAGCAAAAAGTAGATAAAAAATATATACACTAGACACGACTCTAGATCAATGTCTGAACAAATGAATGTTTTTATAGAATCCATGTACATAGGTATATATTTAAGTTAGAGTATATATGTATGATGAATAACGGTGTTTGTTGTAAAATTGTGATTCTCAAATTGTACATATTATTGTCTTTATTGCATAAGCTCGCTTCAAACAGCTGATCACACTTTACTCATAAATTTAATTGTTTACTCTTTACAATTCGAAAGTTTTTGTCAATTTTTCTTTCAAGCGTATGTTACTTTCATTTTTGGATGTATTTTCTATTTTTAACATCTAAAAATAAACCGAGACAAACATTTTTTTTTTTCACTTAAAAAAGTTACAACTTTTCAAAAAATTGTGTTTAACTTGTGAAATCCTTTATTTTTGTAATAAAAAAAAATTTTAATTTAATAATATTAATGTGTAAAATCGAAGTTTTCCTTATATCTGCGTAATTTAAGTTATATACATAGTCACAATAAAGAAGTATTTGACTTCCTTTTCTCTGTTTTATTTATCTGTTTTATGGACCAACTTCTCGTGCATGAGATCGAGACGCAGTTTCTGAATTATAATTAATACATATGACCTTTTTCAATTGCTCCTTTACGTTTCTTTTTTATTAAATTTTTTCCAGCACTTTTTTTCACCTTGAAATTTAATTTTTGATTGGAAATTTATATTAAAATATAATCAAATATTCATATATATTTTAAAGAATTAATTTATTTTTATAAATTACACAGGCTTGCATGGTTTTTTTATTTTTGATATCGGAGTGATTTCCAATGTATTTTTGTTCGCTGAATACAATTCCGGGTCCCAAAATTTCTTTGCACGTCAGGATTTTGAGAAAAGTCGGGGTACAGACCCAAAAAAAGTATTTTTGGAGATTTACAGAAAAAATATGTTGTTTTTAGGGTTCCATACTCGGTTCGGAACCCTATTAATATCGGTTTTTTTGAAATCGTGTACCCCCCCCCCCTAGCGGCCACACAAATTTATCTGGAGGGCTGAAAATTAGTACACATATGTATTTTCGCGTGTAGATTACAGGAAAAATATAGCGACCTTGATTGGAATTGATTAACATAGCGTTGTCAAGGAAAAACCATGAATTTTTACGAAAAATGCCTAAAAATGACTATGTACTCCCCCCCCCCCTAGCAGCCACATCTTTTGACATAATGAGCTCAAATTTGGTACACTTACGTATTTTTACGTGAAAATTACAGGAAAATATAGCGAACTTGATTCCGATCAATTTACATAGCGTTGTCAAGGAAAAATCAAAAATTTCGAAAAAAATGATTTATTCTCCCTAGCGCACACAATATTCAACCCAAATTGTTCACATTTGCTGTAAAACTGTATTTTTGCGTGAAAAATACAGGGAAAAAATGTAAGCGCGATTGGAGTTGATGATCAATTTTTATCAAATTTTTGAAGAAAAATGATAAATTTAAGAAAAAAATGTATTTTTCCGCAAAAAACGAAAAAAATCGGACAAGTGCGAGTTACACTCGCACTGAAATCGAGGGTTCCGTACTCGAAGCGAACTTATTTGGTATAAAAACAAATGTTTAAAAAATATGTGTTGTGTATTAAATAATATATGTGATACAAAAATAAACAATTTTTAAAAAAAAATTTAAGAAAATTGTTCCTCCTTTGGTATAAAAACAAAAAAAATTTTTAATTTAAAAAATTTTAAAAATTTAAAAATTTACAAATTTAAAATTTTTTTTGTTTTTATACCAAAGGAGGAACAATTTTCTTAAATTTTTTTTTAAAAATTGTTTATTTTTGTATCACATATATTATTTAATACACAACACATATTTTTTAAACATTTGATTTTATACCAAATAAGTTCGCTTCGAGTACGGAACCCTCGATTTCAGTGCGAGTGTAACTCGCACTTGTCCGATTTTTTTTATTAATTATTCTGCATAAAAATAAAAAAATTTGTTGTATTTGTATTTATGTTGTCTGCCAATAAATTAAAATTTGTCAATTACTTATAGGACTACATTTTTGATATTATATTCGAAATTATTGTAATTTGAATTAAGTATAATATTAGATATTATTTGAATAATATTTCTGAAATTTATTACTTTATATGTATATATAGTTGAAATGTATGTTTTATTCATTTTTCATTTTAAATTATTGTTAATTTCTATTCAAATTATTCTATCTTGTCAATTACAGTATAGAAAATAATTTAATGATATTCAGTAAATTATAAATTTTATGCACATATTTTTCTCATGACACGTATATATTGATTTCTTCAAGTTATCAATAAATTGACATTCATATAAGAATAAATTAATAATACACTTTCTTTAAATGTTTTTAATTTTTGATTTCCAATCGTTTATTGATAATTATTTAAATAAATTATTAAAAAAATTTATAAAATTGTTATAAGGAAATAATATCCAAAGAAATACAAAACTGATACTGATACTGATACCAAAAAAATTTCTATTCATCTTTAACTATGGCTAAGTATTACTGCGCCTGGTTAAAAATCTGTCCTATCTGTCCTTAATTGTTTTTTTTAATTATAAATGGCCAAAATCCTTATCTGTTATCTATTCTTATCAATTTGATAACAGTGTTCAATTTAAAAATTCTAACCTGTTACATATACGTCAAAATGTTGATAATTTTTCCCAAAAAATCGATCGATATGAAGAATTTTTAAAAAATTTTATAATTTATTTAAATAATTATTAATAAACACTAAATTCAATAGTTAATTTCACTTTAATTTCTTTTGCTGACATCTAAAGAGACACATGACCTGATAATGCCTAAAATTAATTTGTTAGAAATTCGTTAACATAGAATTTCCTTTTAGCCAAATTTTTATTTATTCAAATTATTTTTTCACAGAATTTCCATTAAATCGATTTTCTATATTATAGAATTTTTACACAACCTAATATTTGCTTCAAAAAATTTCTATTTGTCATTTTTTTTTTCTATTCGGCAAAAACATTTCATATCAAAAATTTTTAAATTAACCAATCACAATTTTCTCGGTAATTTCTGATTGGTTAATTTTAAAATTTGCGCTGAAATGTTTTTGCCCAATGTTTATTAAAAGTAAAACAAATACAAATTCTAACAAATAAAAATTCTGTGAAGCAAATATTCGGTTATATAAAAAATCGATTTAATAGAAATTCTGTTGAAAAATAATTCGAACAAATAAAAATTTGGCTAAAAAAATTCAATCTATTTAATCTAACCTGTTTAAAAGTTGAATAAAAAATTGACTTTATTCGCTATATTAATATTAAAAATTAAAATTTAATTGTACAAGTTGTAAAATTAAAATTATTTAAGTGTAATTAAATTTAACATATCTTTATACTGTGAGGAAAATGATACGGAATGAAGCCACATTACATATATAACTTTTAGGATACATTTAATTATACGGTGTTGTTGTTTCTGGTCCTACGGCCTCTTTCATTAACTCAATTGTCTTTTATTATAGGCTTGACTATTGGCGAAGCAATTTCATCTGGTTTTAACTTTTAAGTAATGATTATAATAATATATATCTTAAATGCACATTAATTTTCAGATACTTATATCTAACACATATTTGTGAATTTTAATTTTCAAATAGGATTTTTTGGATAATTTTTAAGTACTTTTTCCGATTCATAAAAAAATTTTAATATCCTTCTTTTTAAAATTAAATATTTATTTTTCAGTTTCGACTCATTTAAAAAACAATTCTTTACGGAATTGTATCAGGACGATTACAGAACTACAATGTCTCATTCAACAGAATCATAAGTGATTCGAGTTTTTTTAAAATGCAAGAATTTAAAAAAAAAAAACACTAAATTAATGATTTATATAATTAAATTGATAATTTTAAAGTGTTAAAATAAATTAAATATTTGAAAACCTCACCTGTAAGCAAGTGACATGCACTGGAAAAGTTTGTTGAGTGAAGTTTCAATGCTCAATTGTTGGGAATTGACATCTGAAGGGGAATTGGTGACAAACTTTTCCAAGGAGAAACCAACAGGGGCGATAATTGCTAATCGTGCAACTTCTTCTTCCGGTACAGGTACGGCAAGTTCATCTTCATCATCCTGTGCTTCAGCCTCAAAATCTGACACCATAAAATGACCAGAGTGTATTGATTCTCTCGAATCTTTACTTGCTCGCTTCATTCTGTGAATGCCAGTTTGTGTTGTTGTCACCTCCTGGTGCGAAGGCATCACTGAGGCCTTCCGGTACATCAACTCAGCTTGCATTGTCTCCTATACATATTTTATAAAACTAAATAAACATATTTTAACACTATTGGTGACTGGATAATTGTTATCAAATTTAAAAAGGAATTTATTTTTAAAAATGTTTCAATAATATATATATGTGGGACGGTCCATGCCAAACCAATATATCGTCGACTTTGACCTCTTCAATTTGGCTCAAACTTTTTTACCATTTTGTACCCTCCAAAAAAAGAGTTTCATGATTTCTTCAAATTTTTTCATCAACCCGCTTACAAGATATGAATTTTCACAAAATTGGAGAATTTTAATCTTTTTTTATTTTTGAATGCTCATAACTTCCTTAAAAATGCATCAATTTTCAGTTTTTTTTTCAAAATGTGTGTTTATGACTCAACTTTTCAAAAATTTCATGCAAAAAATTTTAAAATTAAAATTTACTATATTATTTGTAATTTAAAGGTTAAAATCTTGCTTTTAAAACTGTTTGTATTCTTCGATTTTTTTCAAAAAATTTTTAAAAAAAACTACTTCCTTTTACATAACTTTTAACCTTAGTCTGATCGTGAGGAAACAATTTTTTCAAAAAATTTTTAAATTTTGGAAATTTTGAATTTTTATAAAATATCACCAGTTTTATTTTATACTACGTATTTTTATGTATTTTGATGCGCTGATTACGAAAATCATAGTGCCAATACTCTAAAATTTTATTTTTATGGTAAAAACCATAGAAAGTCCTAAAATATGTGGTTTTTTTTTTAATGGTTTTCACCATATAAATTAAATCTTGGGTATTGTCACTCTGATTATCGTAATCAACGCATCAAAATACATTTTTTATGTTTCATGCTGTTTTTTAATTTTTCATATTTTACCAGAAAATTTGATTTTTTGTGATGAAAACCATAAAAAAGTTCTAAAATTTATGTTTTTTTTGGGTAAAATATGAAAAATTAAAAAAAAGCATGAAACATTAATAATGTATTTTGATGCGCTGATTACGTAAATCATAGTGACAATACCCAAAAATTTAATTTCTATGGTAAAAACCATAAATTTTATGACTTTTTTTATGGTTTTTACCATAAAAATAAAATTTTTGGGTATTGTAACTATGAACTTATGCAACAAAAATGAACCAGGTTGGTGGAGCCACTGTCTATGTCGTTTAGCATTGGCTCATTTTGATTTGCAACAAAAATGAGACTAGGTTATTTCTGTGTAATTAATTATAAATTTTTTATCAAAGTTAAAAAACCTAAAATTTATTTACCATAAGGTTCTTTTTCTCGTGGAGTATTTATTTTAATTTATCACTTACGTGTATGGTAATATAATATAAATAAATGTTTATTTAAAAAAAGAGACCTTCTTTAGTGTAGCAAAAAAAGAGATTATCTTTCTCTTAATAATACTGCAGATATATATTGGCAAATAAAATGCATAATTAACAAAGAGAACATTAATCATCTTTAGTGTACTTTCTTATCTAGCTATATTATATATATATTTATCTCAAATTTTCTGATGCAAATATAATGACCAAATCATTGACCATCGTATGTTTTACACTTTTATGTACACTATAATGGATAATTGAAGACAACTTTCTATATTTTAAAATTTCATTTGCGATTAATAAATAATTTCAATTTAATGTAAAAAAAATATAAACATATTTTATTATACTTTTTATTTAATAATATTGTTAATCAATTTGAAACAAAATTAACAATTATAATAATTATACACAGTGGAACAATTTTAGAAAAATTTTTTGAGTTAAGACTTGACTATGATGAAATGAAAGCACTATACCCCAGCAGAGTAAAATCCCCAAATAGTTTTGAAAAATTAGCAGCCGTTTGGTTTTTTTTTTTTTTTTTGTAATTTTAAGTTTTGATAATTCAGTTTTTTCAAAAATCGCTTTACTTATATTATTTGGACAGTAAATCGCTCATTTTTTAAAATAGCTTCTTATTTTCTTGAGTAAAATTATAATTTTTATTCCAATAAACAAATTCAATGAATCTTTGCGAAATTTTCGTTTTTGTATGGGCCTTAAATTATATAGTTTTGCTTAAAAACTTGTTTAATCCTTTCATGCCCAATGTTGCCTACAGACAACATTGCAAATTGACATAAAAAACCTTTTTTCCGAATGTTTGCAGCAACTTTTTTTTTGTTTCTTGTTTTTTGTTAAAAGCAGTCAGTCATTAGCAGTTATTTGTCGAGTGCAGAAGTGAAAAAAATGGCGTACCACAGAAAAAATTTTTTTTTTTAATTGAAAAAGAAACATAAGAAAAAGAAAACCCTAGCAACATGTTTACAGCCTTTAAAAAATATTACGTCATCTCAAATTAATTTGGCAGTGAAAGGGTGAACTACAATATTCGATAATTAAACATTTTCAAAAGAAGGTTATATGGACTCATTCTCATCTAGAATTAATATATTTGAAGTTCTGAGCAAATGTCCAGATGTATGTGTGTGTGTATGTCACAAAATATTGTGTACAAATTATCTCAGAAACGTTTTGACGGATTGTCCTAAAATTTTGTATGCTTAATGCAGTCATTACTACCTAAAATTTGATACAAGGATTTATGATTTTTTTTACAATTTTTTCAAAATTTGAAATTTTTTTTTTCAAAACATTTTTTTCATTGTAAATTTAATTTTGTTTGGTAAAAAAACTTATTTCTTGCATTAAAACCAATCGATTAACCTATATAAAGTTGATATTTTAGTGAAATGTATAGATTAAATCATTTTTTTTATGTTTGTATTTTTTGAAATAACTTTTTCTTATATAGAAATTTTAATTAGTTCTTGTAAAAATTGTATTCCTGGCATGAAAACGAATCGATTGATGTATATAATGTTTACATTTTACCAATATTTATAAAATTGATCGCTATTTCAGTTGTACTCCTTCTTTTAATATTGAATATGAGTGTATCATCACAGTAAACTTAGTTGTATCTTTTTCTATTGCAACGTTTTGATGCACATAAGTTATATCAAAAAGAGATCGTTTTGTGTATCATTTTTAGAAATGATACACGAAACGGTCTCATTTTTTGATGCAAAAAATTTAATCAATTTATATCAATCATGGCCGAATTGAATCGACTCAAAATTAAACGAATTTTTTTCAGATATTTTGGTAATAGTACAATTGCGGAGACCATTTCACTATTTAATTTGAAAATGAAAATAACAGAAAATCAAAGATAATGTGCAATTCGATAATTAAAAAGTGACAGCTTATAAACATAACCTAAAATGCATGAGAAAAAAATTGTCGATAAAATCAATATAGCCGAGCTTTTTAGAAGGTAGATGGCAGCACTCATCTATTTTCTTTCTTTAAATTTTTTCTAAATCGTTTTTATAAAAAGCAAAACTGCCATCTACCTTCTAAAAAGCTCGGCTATATTGATTTTATCGACAAATTTTTTCTCATGCATTTTAGGTTATGTTTATAAGCTGTCACTTTTTAATTATCGAATTGCACATTGTCTTTGATTTTCTGTTATTTTCATTTTCAAATTAAATAGTGAAATGGTCTCCGCAATTGTACTATTACCAAAATATCTGAAAATAATTCGTTCAATTTTGAGTCGATTCAATTCGGCCATGATTGATATAAATTGATTAAATTTTTTGCATCAAAAAATGAGACCGTTTCGTGTATCATTTCTAAAAATGATACACAAAACGATCTCTTTTTGATATAACTTATGTGCATCAAAACGTTGCAAAGATTTGATGCAATTTTTGGTCTCAATTTGATACTTTTAGGAAAACTGTGATGATGAGGAAGCTAAATGGTCATGAAATGAACACCTTGTTTAAAAATATTATACACTTTATTTAAATATTTCTTCTAATTGCTTATTGAGATCAGTGTAATTTGTATTAATTTGTATTTGTATTACTTTGTAAAAACGTATTACTTTGTATTTGTTTTTAGGTTAGGTTAGGCTAGGATGTTTAATAGAAGCACGCGGACCAAAACATTCGTACGAAATATTTTAGTGGGAATTCTAAAATCAATAATTCACATTATTCTTAAACGGATTTTGAAGAATGATTTTGTTCATTTGAATGTTCAAAACTTCGCAGGCACATAAATTCTAAACTTTCAAACGAACGAAGTTATATATTATTATCATAATTTAGTTTGGCGCAAAAAATGTAATATGTATGTCTTTTCTCGAAATAAAATTTTAGTGTATGACAGTTATCACATAATTTCGAGAAATAAAATATCATCAGTACATCAAAACAAACTCATAATCATGATGTGACGCCATCAGTCACTGATTGACATAAACCAAATCAAGAGGCCAACTCACACGCGCATCATTTCTTTAATAGGTATTTTTTTCTTTTATAAATTTTGAACAAATTCTATTAATTTTGCTAAAGTGTAACTTATCAGCTTTTCAATTCAGTTTATATTTTCAAATATTTATTATTATTAAATTAATATATAATAAGACAAAATAGTTTTAATCTTTAATTAAAATAGATTAATGTTAAAACATTATTTCACAATTATTATAATAAATTTTAAATTAATAATTAATTTATAAATATTTTACAAAATTGAAATGTTCAACGTATTACTTCACTGTTTAATAGAATATAATTTTGTTAATTTATTGATTTTTAGAACCTTTTAATGGTTACCATGTTATATATATATATATATTAGTAATTAGATTTATATTACAACATGTTTCTATTTTTTTTCAAATTGTCATTCATTAATTTTTATATATAAAAAAATAAATAAAATTTAATAAGCTTGTTAATATTGAATAGTTTAAACGAGAGTCTTCTATAAATAACAAACTATTTATGAAATCGTAAAAAATAAAATAATGTATTTTAAAATTTATAATAAAGCTGATAATTAAGTCAGATAAAATTAAAATTCAGAAAATTAAATTTCTTTTATGTTTTTGGTTTAAGAGAGTAAAAGACAGGTTGTAGTTTTTTTAACTTTAACGAACATGAATATTAAATTTTGATCTTTGAAAAGCTGATTAAGATTTGGCTTCATAGTTTAAAAAGTTTACAAACTTGAAAATTTTAAAAATACAAAAGGAAATACAATATTTATTCTTTATTATTGAATATTTATAATTTAGAACTAGAAATTGTAAAAACTCATCAGTTAATGAATAATTAATTTTGCAATTAAGTATACAATCGCTAATTTTTGTAGTTAATTAATAACTCGTTAGTATTAATTAATTTTAAAATATTTAACAATTTATGAAGGGATAAACAACAAAAAATATTTATGTACACTTACTTTAGAAAATATGTGTTAAAATAGCTAAATTTTGAAAAAATTTATATAAAATTCAACAGTTGTTGTATTTAAATTTAGAAAAAATATTTCAAGTATTTTTAAAATAATTTTGAACTTTAATATACTGTTAACAATATAAAATTCATATATACTTTTATAATCTCTAATTCTAAATTAAATAAATTTTTTTTACCTAATTCCAAATTTAGAGAGTAATTTTTGAATTTTGTTTTCTATAAATATAAAACTTTCCCTTTTCAATACAAATTTCCCTGAGTTAGAGAAATATTTTACATAAACACATTTATTAAAATTTCGTAATTTTTTTTTCTAAGAATATAAACGAAGCTGAAGTACGCAACGTTTATGATAAACGATTTTTAAAGAAATAATTTTTTAAAATGAAAAATTCTATAATTTTTTGCCTAAAAAATATTTCTTGTAATTTTTATTAATCAACAAATTATAAAAAATAATTTTTTTAGGTAAATAATTTCATAATTTTCCGTATTAAATAAAAATTGATTTCTAATCGTTTATCATAAACGTTGCGTACTTTAGCATCGTAAGAATAAAATAAATAAAAATAAATACACAAGAAATTTATTATACATTTTTTATTGTACATAATCATTTTGTTATTTTATTCTGAAAATGTGTAAAAATTGAATTGCGCATATTTTTGTAAAAAATTATAATTAAAATCCAGAGCAACTTTATATATATATATATATATATATATATATATATATATATATATATATATATATATATATATATATATATATATATATATATATATATATATATATATATATATATTTGTAAGTGTAAACGGAAAGTTTTAATTATTATTATTGAAATAGAGTAAATGAAACATGGATGAAGTTATCTTATGTATTCGTTACCTAGTACAAGTGTTGTGACGTAGCAATGTAATTTGTGGGAGTGTCGTGGTCTCGAAAACATTCCGCTGATAGGTTACGTTCTAGTATCATTCACATGTAGATAAACGTGTTTTTTTTTATGACAATGTCGAAATAGATCCCTTCAAGTATTTAAGTAGGACACAAATTTTTTTTTTTTAATAAAGTAAATAAAATTAGTTTTTGTATTAGAAGAACAAAGACAATCTGATTGTCCTTGTTTCTTTAAATAGACATTCCTCCTTTATTACCCATGTTTACTAGGTGTCTGAAACGCCCACTCGATTAAGAATTTTGTACATTATAATTATATTTTTTTGCGACAATTTTCATATGTCAAGAGAGTTTGAATGTCAAACTCACTTGAGAGAACATTATACATATATATGCATGACCTATGTAATTGCATATGTGCATTAAATTGAATTTAGTATTTACTCGATTTTATTGTATTATTATGTACAACAAAATTGTACATAAATATATATATATAGTTTGTGAGCTGGAAATATATATATATATATATATATATATATATATATATATATATATATATATATATATATATATATATATATATATATATATATATATATATATATATATATATATATATATATATATATATATATATATATATATATATATATAATTTTGATGTATGTTTTGTAATGAATTGTTGTTGGCTATAAAAGAATAGTTATCATAAACAGGGCAAAGTCGACAACGATCCAGTCACCTTAACCATATGCTTGCCTCTTTGTGGACAATAATAAAGTTTCAAGAATTTTGTCGATAGTGGACTGCTGATGAATGAGAAAAGTGTAGCACGCACTTTATGATTTAAACTCTCACATACACAATTCACAAAAACAGAAGAGCGACACACTCACCTCTTCACACTGCTTTTGATGACAATAACATACACCTAACGAGAGATAAATTGATTTTTCACTTTTTTTTTCTCCCGATTTATTGTGTATTTTTGAAATGAAACTAGTATTTCACTTTTGCCATCAGGCAGGGCCGCGAGAAGCGGTGCCTGGAAAAGGCCCGTACGCGTTATTACACGATAAATGTTCGCTCATACTGCCAGGACCGCCATTTGCCTGGTTAAAAACTACATATCTCTAAACTCTCTTTATTGTCTTAATATTCAGTCGCCGCCTGTAGTGCATTACAATAACTTCTTTAACAACGTGGTTACCAAACAGCTGATCGGATATAAGTAGAAATTGTAGCTCATAATATTAGAACGCTGGCGCCATCTTTGATTTTTTGTAAGTATCTACTATTGCTTTGACTAAACTTACATTTTAATGTTTAACGGTTGAGGACTTTATTGTCAGCAAATATTTGAATAATAAAAAATTTTTATTTTAAATATTATTTTCTGCTTAAATTAACTATTTTTATTATTTCCTACTTATCCTTATTTTTAGGAACACAATTTTAAATAGATGACATTTTCCTGTAATTTCTTACAAAATTAATATTTCACAAAATCCATATCCCTAATTGTTATAAATAATGACTGACTGAAAAATAAAATAAAAAAATACTAAATTAATTTAATTATTTATCTCCAAATTGTGAATCGAAATTTATACATTTTTAATAATAGGGGTAGGTAATATTATTTTAATGATTAATTAATTAATTAATTAATATATTTTTTTCTACACTGAAAAAAAATTTATTTAATTCAAATACTTGGTTATTTGACTATTTTAAAATAAATATTTACTTGAACCAAATAATTTTTATTTGAATTAACTAAATTGTATTTAAAACCAATACTCAGATAGCACGTAAGCATGCAGCAACTTTGTGGCAAGCTTGCCGCACAATATATTGCTAACCTTGCACGGCAAACTTGTCGCAAGTAACTGAGCAATCTTGCGATAATCTTATTGTGCAATATTGCAGTAACTTTACACTGCAATCTTTCGGTAAGCTTACCATGCAAGCTTGGTCAGGTGCGATATTTGAAGCTTGCGGCAAGTTCGCTGTGCAAGGTTGTCAATATTGTGCGGCAAGATTGCTGCAAGCTTACGTGCTATCTGGGTAATTATTGTATTTGAAACAAATACCATTTAATTGACTCATATAATAATTATTTGATACAAATAAATATTTATTTGATATTTGCCTTTAGTTGAGTGAAAAATATATTTTTTAAATCGTATTTTTGATTGATTGTACTATTCGTATACCTTTATTGAAAATGTAAAAAAAATTTTCTAAATCTTTAACATCATAGGTATAATGATATATTTGTAATATTGTTGGTCTTATTGATGGAATCTTTATTTTAATAGATAAATGAATATTTCTTTAATTTTTTTCTTTAGTATGTCGATTGAAAAACCATTTTTTAATACCCACACAGCACAATATCTTGCTGTAAGCTTCCCTTGAGTTTAAACCTAAGATTCATTAGCTTACAGCGTAAACTTCAGGTGAAGTTAAGGTGAGTCAGCTTACAGTTAAGCTTACTATAACCTTACTGTAAGCTTCACGTAAACTTTTTGTAAGCTTCGTGTAAGCTTACATCATTATTAATAAATGTTAATAAATAAATTAAACAATAATTTATGCGCAGTAGATTTTAATCAACTTTTTCCGTTAGGGTTGTATACACGGAGAGACCGCCGGTTAGAAAAATTACTAAAAAAATTTACAAGTAGCGGAAATAAGGTTACATTGTCAAACATTGCTGTAGACTATAGTAATTTCTATTCCAATTTGTGTACAATTTTACTATAGTATACAGGTTTTATTAAGTATGCTGCTAATAGAATTTTCGATTTCCTACAGCAATATATGACAAAGTAACCTTATTTCCGCTACTTGTAAATCTTTTTAGTAATTTTTCCAACCGGCGGTCTCTCCGTGTATCCTACATCACAATATATATATATATATATATATATATATATATATATATATATATATATATATATATATATATATATATGGGACGTTTCGCGCCAACCGGGCCACCTATCTCTCCAAAATTGAGAGCTTTCAAAATTATTGATTATATATAAAAATTATTTGTATATATAAGTACTTTGAAAAATGAGTGGCCTTTTGAAAAATCCAATATGGCGGCTGAAATATAACCCATAAAAGAATGAAAAACAGGAAAGATGGTTACAAACATATAAATAAAAATGAATATAATGAAGAAAACAGCTCTGCATCGACATAAAATTCATCACTTAAGAATAGACAATATATACCATAAGTGAAAATAATAAATTTACCAAATCCAAAATGGCGGATCCAATATGGCGGACTAAAATTTTTAAAAGTAATTGGAATCACTTGAGACTTGCCACTAAGGGGTTTTTGGGGTCGCTGATAACGAATCTGAAGTCATTTTTCTAAAATTCAAAATGGCGGATCCAATATGGCGGACTAAAATTTTTAAAAGTAATTGGAATCACTTGAGTCTTGCCACTAAGGGGTTTTTGGGGTCGCTGATAACGAATCTGAAGTCTTTTTTCTAAAATTAATTATGGCGGATCCAATATGGCGGATGAATTTCAAAGAATTAATCGAAATCGCGTAAAAGTCGTTACTTGGGGGTTTTAGGGGTCGCTGTTTACAAATCTTATCTTACTTTTATTGAATTACATTATTTTCTTAAGTAATTGTACCGTCGACATTGGCGTTACCCGATGTACACCGCGGGGAGGTTGCACGATCGGTTTTGTACATCATATAGCCCTTAAAAGGGCTGTTTGGTAGAGGTGCCTGAATTTTGAAAAAAGATTAAGATCTAAATCAGCGTAACAGCATTTATTATTAATTTTTTTACATTTAATAATGTTAGCTCCAGAATATCGTAACACCTGTAATTTTTTTCCAGGAAGTACTTTAAAAGCATGTCCACTCTGGATTTTTGTGACTTGTGGAGCTTTTGAAAATCGCTTAGCCAGATGTCTTTGGGTTTTTTGATGCTTCTTCTGATCATAATAAAAAAATGTAATTTCTTTAAATTTTTCTTTTGCCCATTTAAAAAGATCTACTGAGTTAAGAATGGCTTCTGTTGATTTTGCCTGAAGACTTGCTCGAGTAGCTTCTCTTTTCAGAATAGCACCCAACCCATCACAGGCTCCTTTGCCATGAGCTGTCGCATGGAAATACCATTCTGCTTCAATTCCAAAATCTTGTTCATGATGCACAAGATTACTCATTTGAAATCTATTTTTGTAGTGCTGTTTAGCCCCATCAGTGAAATAAATAATTTTTCGAACATTAGGAACGATTTTTCTTATTTCGGGTATGAGTAATTCTTGCATCATGTACACAGCAGCAGTATCATGAGTTGTACTTTCAGAAAGTAAGATTGTACTTTTGTGCAAAAGTTCCTTTCCATTATTATAATAGAAGACTACAGTGTTAACAGAACACTGGTCATTATTATAATGGAAAGCTTGCGCAGCGTCTTGTGCAACGTAAGCATAATTCTCTGCGAAATCACATTGAACTATTACTTCGTGTGGCTGCAAGTTATTTTTTAGTTCAAGGAGGAATTTCGACTGGTTCTTTGAAATAAAATCATGAGGCAGTAATATTTCCAAACGGTTGGACATCTCCTGTACAAAATCTGGCATAGATAGGCACTGTTTTTTTAATGTACATCTATCGGTAGCTTCCCACGTGCTATAAATGATTTCTGAAATACCTCTTTGTTCGAATAATTCCATTAAATAATTAGAGAATAATTCAGGGTTTGGACAAAGCTTGCACTCTCTTAAAAAGCATTCCTCTTTTGGCCTTTTACACATTATTAACTGGAAGCAATCTTTATAATTTTTCAATGATATGTCCAGATCATTCGTAAGTTTTGCAATATTTGCTGCATCGAACATCATCTTGAAATTTTGATGAATAGTACAGACACAAACACTGTGTGTACCATTTGCACCTGCACGTATACAGTTCTTAGGTCGAAGTTCAGCAAATGTTGTAAAACCAATTGGATGCTCTGGATTCTGTTCCTTAAATTGTTTGTGTAGACATTTTATGTCACAAAGTAACAATCGTTTCTGCACCTTTTCTTTTCGCCCTTCATTATATACAGTAACTGTTTCCTTTTTATGCGGCATTATTCTACTGTTAATATCATTTTCATAAAATTCGAGAACTTTCTCTTTCGTCTTTTCAGGTAAGCATCTTCCAACTTTTGAGGATGGCATAGCTAAAACACCTTCCAGTTTTCTTATGTTTTTAGCTTTTTTAGCCATTCTTCGAGATGCCCCAAATTCCTGAGAGATTTTACGAGCACTCCAGCATTCAGGAGCTATCGTAAGTATTGTAACACGATGTGGATCATTTTCGGCAAGAGAAACGAATTTTTCCTTTAACCCATTTAACATCTCTTCTAATTCATTCTCTCTAGTGAAACGCGTCTTTTTACTTGAGGAAGATTCTTCTTCGATATCAGACTGCTCTGAATCAAAACTAATTTTACTGTTCAATATTTCACTCGAAACATGCTTTTTTGTAAACATGTCTCTACACATTAAACAAACTTTTGCATTTTCATTTAAGTTAGGAAATTCTTTCAAAATTAATTTTGAAATTTTTCGCAAACCCTTACCAATATGTCCCTTTTCATTAAAGGGATTCACGCACCTATCTGAGCGAGTTTTTTCTCTCAAAGTACTCATTTTTTACTTTTTTGACACCAATAAAAAAATCAGCGATAATTAATCGGAACAGGAGATAAACAGTTTAAAAAAACTATTTATTTTAGTCCTCAAAAGGACTGATTGAAATATACGTTCAAATTGAAAATTCAGTATTATGATAAAAAATCTGAAAATAAAAAAAAAAACAAAAAAAAAGTAAAACGCTAATAATAAGAAAGACTGAAATTCAAATCAAATATGAAAATAAAAAAATGAAGTAAGAAGAACAGTATACGCATCAACTATTAACCACACAGAAAAAGAATGTTCACCAAAGTGCTTCTATTTATCATATGGAAGTTGCGTCTCTATAGTGAGAAAGAAATGGATTCATTTATCCTCGACATCTAGCGTTAAAAAAAGTAACTAAATTTCTTGCTTGAGCATATTGTATGCACACGTCATAGTCTAAATAGAATAATAACTCGATAAATCTTTTCA